CAGGCTTCAGCGCGTTATTAGGGAACTTAAGCAACGGAGCAACGGAAGTTTTCGGGGCGACGGCGACTGGAGTGGCAGAGGGAAGCTGGGACCGATGTAGCCGTCGCCTCCCGCCACGTCCATTGCTTAAGTTCCCTATTTTCGAGCCCAGCGACCGCTTACCGGAAATCATTGTGACTCAAGGCTCGATTATTTACACATATTGAATGTCTTAAGTACGAGATTCATTTTACCTCCTCCTTGCCCGAAGTAAGACAGATGCCTCTGCCATCTACAAGTAGGATGAACTACATAGGAGGTTCGTATAGTTTATTTATTTTATAGCCAACTTTATGTTGAGGTCGACTTGCCTTAGATAGCTTTGGAAAACGAGGCAGTCTCCTTTAAAGTAGAAGCTTGTTCGTTGATTGTAAAATCGACTACGCGCGCTTTTGAATGCTTCGATGGAATGCTCTCTGAAAACAGAAAACTTAATTTGGTTTCTTTCGTGCTTGTGCAACTTAAGACATTTACAATACGCGGCAAGGGAAAGAGTCTTAGATGGATAAGAGGAGACACCTTTGAGAATATGAGACCCGAGATTGGAAGTTTCATGGTCGGGTAACGCCGTCATTTGTGATTGTTTAAGAACTCTGGTTTGAATGTGAAACTTGTGTATTTCACCTTTCCTGGCTTGAATCTTCAGTCTTCTCGACTAGTGTTTTTTTTTTTCTTGAACAGGGTTGTTGGTTCTTGTGTTAAAAAAGCTTCATTGAGCGTTCATTTCGAACAGAGGTATACATTTAGTGACACCTCGGCGGCTGTCATGATTAATCAAAGACAGCCATTTCCGTTATTTATTTTTATTTATTTCTTTATTTTGCACAAGATCATCATTATAACTACACTACATACTGCAACGCAATTAATATAATTCTGAGCGGGAAGTCTCAGAAGTCTTTTTAGGCTTATCTAGGAGACCCCCTTTACTACCTGATAAGACAAGTCTGGCGGTCAATGATTACAGATCTTATACATTGATTTACAGATTCGTGAGAAAGTTACATTGGTATTGAATATATTACTATAAACTATTCGTTAGAATATGATTTTTTAATTTTCGCTTAAAAGTCGATATATACTGGATATTTTTTAGATCACTTGGTAAGCTGTTGTATACATCAATTCCTTTAAAACTACTGCTTAATTTCCTGAGGTTTGTTTTGACACAAGGCTTGTGTAATTTTTTGTTTGAACGAGTGTTGTGGTTGTGAACTTCTTCATTAGTCCTAAAAATTTTTTTTGATGAGATAGGTAATTGATTATTTGAAAATTTTCATTAAGATAGCAATAGTATAATAATTAACTTGATAAACATTCAGTATCTTCAGATTATCAAATAATGGTTTTGAGCTGTGATTGTATTCTTTGAAGGTTATTATTCGTACAAGTTTCTTTTGCAGTTTGTATATTTTCTCAAGATGAGTCAGATATGCATTAGCCCATACAACATTGCCATAAAAGATATACATGTAGGGGTAGATCAGGGCATAGTAAATTGATTTCAGTAACGATCTAGTTACACAATGCCGTGCTTTACATAATATACCTGTTAGCCTTGATATTTTGTTTGCAATGAAATTAATGTGTTCTTTCCACTTCAGTTGGTCATCAACTATTGTTCCAAGAAATTTTGTGCTTTTTACTTGAGTAATAATAAAGATCTTAGATTTTTATATTTAGTTGTTTAGTTATTTTTTGCTTGATGATTTAAACAGCATGAAATTTGTTTATGTAATATTAAGTGATAATTTGTTTAGTTGTAGCCACGTATTGATTTTAATTAGTTCTTCATTCATTTTATCTATCAGCGTGTCTAGATTTTTATGAGACATCAACAAATTTGTATCATCTGCAAAGAGAATGAAGGATAATTTTTTTGAACTATTGCAGATATCATTTATATAAATTAAAAACAGTAGAGGACCTAGAACTGATCCTTGGGGAACTCCACACGTTATTTCTTGTTTCTCTGATATTTCATTGTTGTATCTGACACACTGATATCTCTGTGTTACATAATTCTTAAACCATTCTAATGCAGTTCCTCTAATGCCATAGAATTCCAGCTTTTGAAGTAGCAGGCTATGATCAACTGTATCAAAGGCCTTAGACAAATCCAGAAATACCCCAATGGCAAATTCTTTGTTATCTAAAGCAGTCGTTATTTTATTGATCAGGTCAATAAGTGCAAAATTTGTTGAGTGATTTCTCCTGAATCCAAACTGATGTTCACTAAGAAGGCATATTTTGTTTAAGTAATTCAATAATCTTTTGTACATCATTTTTTCTAGTATTTTAGAGAAGCAAGGTAATAAAGAAATAGGTCTGTAGTTGTTGAATTCACAACTGTCCCCTGATTTGTATACAGGAATAACAATTGATGTTTTAAAGTCTACAGGTATTTTGCCTGTACTGAATGTGAGATTTATAATATGTGATAATGGTTCACTCAATTCTGTTGCTAACTGTTTCACTACTTTGGGCATGATGTTATCGTGTCCACAGCTTTTTGATGGGTCAAGATTTTCTAGTTCTTTCTTAATTTCTCGTTCATTCCAGAAAGCTGAAAGTAACACATTTTCGCATTTTATGGTATTTAAATATAGATGCTATTGATCAGTTTTTTTGAGGAAGGAACCAGCAATCGTTTTTCTTCTCGCGAAAGGACATTTGCTCAGCAGAGTAATTTAGTATTATCAACTGAGTTGACACCATAAAGAATTAAAAAGCCAACGTTTTGAGCATTCACCCTTCGTTAGAGCGATTTTGCTCTGCAGATTTCTGTGATGAGAGATAGCAAGGAGAACAGGAACATGTTTTTCAGCAAAGTGATGATATTGTTGTAATTGTATCCACAAATTGCTAACAAAGGTCGCTATATAATTTACATAGGAGAATGATCATAGAGCACTATGGTCTATTTATGTTCGTGTCTATCAACAGCTAATTGCATGAAATCATGTTGTGACGCAAAATCCTCGTTTTGATTAAGTGGATATTCAGTATTCATTTTTTTTTTAATTTGCAAAATAAAATCAAAGTTGAAGCTTATTTAGTACCATCATAGTCCAATGTTTAGAACAATAGTTAATCAGTGTTCTTTCTATTTTTTTTTGTTTTGTTTTTTTCAATGGTCTGCCATCTTTAATGCACATAGTCTTTCAGCCGTACTGGTGGCTTCCTCTAGGGTGATGAGCGTGTTAAGATGGGGTCATGTACTCAGACTCCTTTCCAATGGATCATTCTGGGGCTAGTGTGTATAGGTTCTGCTTGTACCTTAATGTCTTCACCAGATTGATGATTGTCTAGGGGCATAGTTGTCGAGTGTTTGGAGCAGTTGCTGAATTGCAAAATTACATTAACAGGGTGGTTTTCTTTATATTGTTCCTGTTTCTTATATATGTGTCACCATTGGCAATTTTGATTGTCTATGACCTTTCATCAAGGTGCTCTTCATTTGTTGCCTAGTCCTGTGTCTGTGTTCCAGTTATGAATGGTTTAATCCAGACTACATCACCTTCCACAAGTGGTGCTAGCTCTTTGGCATATATCAGTAAGTAAGTAAGTAAAAGCTTTATTGATGTGTCAGTGTATTTAGTTTTCATAACTAATTGGGGACACAGCAAGAAAGAAGCAAATAGATGAATAAATAGATAAGATAAAAAAGAATTATTTACAGATAAGAAATTAATGAAGGATGGATATATAATTTATCTGCATTACATGTATAAATTATGCAATAAACAGTAGGTATATAAAAGGTGGTCTCTAAGAGTTGCACAGGTTACAGCAGCTATTGCTGTTGTTTAAGAGTGTTGTGCCTGCTTCTCTTGCTGGGTAGACACCCTTATGTCAGGTACAACTGTGCATGGTTTCAGTAGTTCTGCAATTGTAGAGAGGAGAGTTTTTGTCTCCCTGTTCATGATGTGTTGAGGAGGGCTTGATTCCATTAAAAAGGAGACCAAGTGCAAGATGACATCACACTAAGTAATGATGTAACACGACATTTGTGAATAGCAAAATCTGAAAGCAAAGAGGTATGACTTTGGACTTTCTAGGGTTTCCTGCAGATTACTGGTTAAAATGGTTTTTTTTTTGCATTATGAGTTAGCTCCAAAATTAAAGTATTAGTGGTTCATTACAAAATCTACTTTAAACTACATTTAATGGTTGCTAATGTCTAGTCAAGTGCTGCAAGGTAATTTATGAATGAATAATGACTATAGTAAAATAAAGTGAGAACAAGAACCTTCCCTCAATCTTTAGAGTTAAAAATGTCGAAATGTTGCTGACATCAAGATATAAATCAGTGCTTTCATCATGTCATATTCAACATGAGAGGAACAAAACTCAACAATTGTATATAGTTTAGTTCTAGTAAGCCAATGTGTCAATTACACATCCATCAATCACAAACTTGAGAGGAACAAAATGCAACAAGTGTATATAATTTATGTCAATTATGCATCAATCAGTCTCAACATTAGAGGAACAAAACTAAGTAATTGAGTTTAATTTACTTCTTATAAACAGAGATGTTAATTACACATCCATCATTAATATGATAGGAACAAAATATAAACTCCTTGAAAGTATAGATGTCAATTATGCATCCATCAATCAATGAGTTTTGATTCTCTATGAAAAGTAGTCAGCAATGATATCAACAACAACATCATGAATCTTTTGTATAAGGTGAAGGTTTTTTTTGGTGTGGAGCAGGGTTTTCAAAATGAAAAAAAGTATCAGGAGGAAATTTTAAAATAGCCGGAGCACCACTGCGCCGCGACAGCGGCGCCGGGCGGCAAAGCTGCCCGTGGGGAGGGTGCGGGAGGGGGTTTCCCCCTCCTGCAGGGGGGGTATGGGGGGCCTCCCCCAGAAAATTTTGAAAATCTGCATGCTCTGAGGTGCATTCTGGTGCATTTTCAGGACCAAAAAGTTATTTTTTAGGTCGTTGTACACTTTATTATAACCTAGAGTTTTTCTTAAATCTGACTCATTATCAAGAGTTTCTTGAAAATTATGTTTACTCATACATATTACAATGCTTTCCTTCCAGTCCCATGTTACATATTACAATTTACATCTAAATAAAAATTGACCTCTTTCCCTTGTCAGTACTTCATTGACCTGTTATAACATGAATCAACTTTTGAAATAATTATTTTTGCAGTCAGAGTTTTCCTACAGATTGAAAATACAGATGAACAGTTTCGTTATGGCATCCAAGCACTCAGGCTCGATTCTTTTTAGTTAAAAGTCACTGTCACTGAAATCACTTTCCCCCATTGCACTGTCCCTGTCACTGTCGTCACAACTTGGATCATCTTGAAAATTTGCTAAGCCAAGTTTAATGAGGGCCTGCTCTTCCTCTTGCAACGCTTGTTGTTCTTCTTGACTCTGACGATCTTCAACTTGTGGGTCCGTCTGTGTTGATACACTTGTTAATTCTGGTGGTGCAGGTTCTTTGCCCTTGCTTTCTCTTGAGGCTGACTTCCCTTTGGCCAAATTGTAGCGTTTTCCAGAGAGCCATTTCTCAGTGGTCTTCTTCACCAGGGTGTCACATTCTGAAGAATTTGCCTCTGGACCATTCATAGAGATATTAACAAGGGCCTCCAGCATCTCATTGGTCAGCCTGCTCCTGAGCCTTGACTTTATAAGCTTAACTCGACTGACTCCCCTTTCAGGCCATGCGTTGCTTATGGGCATCGTGAGAGCTATTTCTACAATGTGCATGAGGAGAGGGAGAAGAGAAAGGAAAGAAGATCTTTGTTTCATTAGCTGGGACATGCACCACTCTGCTGGCATGGTAGTCTTGCCTTCTTTTACATCAGCTGGAATGGCCATCTCCTTCATGTGGTACTTTAATATATTCCACTCTGCCAAAAGTCGGTCTTGTTGGTCGGGGAAGTAGTGCTTGGCAAGAACTTGGATAGAATCTACTCCGTAAGAGGGAAGTTCTGAAGAGCTTGCAGGAATAAGAGTTGGATCAAAGATGGAGAGCGCTCCCAGAAGAGGGAGGGTGTTCTGAAACCTCAGGTCGATGTTTTCCTTCAAAGCAGAGACATACTTGAGCAACAAATTTCGCATGGATGCAAGCTGATGCTCAGAAGGGGAAAACTGCAGCAGCACCATCTTTCCTTCCTTGATATCTTGGCAAAATTGCTTGATGGGGACTTCTTTGGTTGCCACTTCATCCAGCGCTGCCTTAGCACGAACAATTTCTGGTTTAAGGTGACTGAAATTGACAGTAGAATGCTGAAACGATTTTGACAGGTTGTCAAGAACAGGAAGCACATGCTTTAAAACATACAAGCAAGCCAGGAAGCGGACGTTGTTCATTTGAACTAACAGGCCCTGGCATGTGGGGTCCTCATCTTTCATCCTGATAAGGAACTGGATGATGGCAGAGAAGCTCTCCCAAGCGGATTGAACGGCAGCGTTAAATGACAGCCATCGTGTCTGACAGGCCTTCTTCAGCTTCTTAGCTATCTTCTTCTGCGAATTCTTGTTTGAGAGAGTTATTTCACTCACCTCAAGTTGAACTTTCAGGAGAATGGCTGTCTTCTTGTTCGAGTTGTCAAGGAGTTGCCAAAGGGTGTTTAGTGTGTTCTGCATCTTCTTTATTGTGGCAAGATCGTTTAAAGTGTCGGTACACGCCAGCGCTAGTTTGTGACAAACACAGTGGACAGATATTAACGACTGGATTCTTTCATCTGCTTTCAGCCTGGTAGCTACACCTGACCTTTCTCCCACCATGGCACTTGCTCCATCTGACACAAAGCTTTTAAACCAGTCAAAATTGAGACTGTGTTTCTCAATGACTTCCAGAAGGATGCTTGTGATGGTTAAAGAATCTGCTGCGTCAGAGCTGGCGAGAACATTTTCCAAACACAAAAATTTCACCTCAACCTTTTCGCTACCCCTGTTATAATACTGGATGAAACCAATCATTTGCTCCAAATTTGCAATGTCAGTCATGTCATCAACCATCACCCCAAATGGCCCAGTTACAGCAGAAATGACTTCATTTTGAATCATTTCACCAAGAAGAAGCAACATGTTGCGAAAGGAACCTACTGATGTGTGATTAAAGCCACTCATATCACACCCCAGCTTCGCAACCAACTTTAACAGACTCTTAACCTTGACATTTGCTATATCCTCCTTTGCCAACCAGTAAAGGCAATAGAAAACTCTTTCATACACATCAACCTGAACTTCAGCATTATGATCGAGCTCTTTCTGGAAAACTGAGAACCTGTTCATAAGAATGGCAGTGATTGCATCTTTGTGTCTCTTTGTTGGAATGTGCTCCTCGAGGCAATCTTTCTTTAACCTTGTGCTTGGTTCTGCAGAAAAAAATTCCTTTTTGTTTTGGGGATTCTTGGAATCAAACTTCTTGCAGATCAGACAGTATTGACCTTCTCCTTCGATGTAAACGAGCCACCACATCTGTACTTTAGGGCTATAGGCCAAATCCTTATTAAAGATAAGGCTGTGATTAAACATCTGCTTCTTTTTGGTTGTTTTGATGCGTGCTCTTTCTTCTTGAGACACACCCAAGCAGTCACGCTTTTTGCAGAGAATGTAGTGATGAATTTTCTTCGTCTGCTGTTCTTCAGTGAAACTGTTCGTGATATCACTCTCTGACTGTATACACACAGTATCCACCAACTAGAGAAGGCTACTCTCAAAAAAAGAAAGAAATATCACGAATTGTAATAAAAAGTTCGTTTACCTTCAGCGTGGTTGGTAGGGGCTGCGGTCACAGAGATTTCTTGGCAGTCGCGTAACACATTGACGGGCAAACTTTCGGCATCTTCGAAGTTTAAGGACGTACTAGGCGTTGCAGAAGACCCTTCCGTGTCTGGTGCATCTAACGAAAGCAGTGAGAATATGTATCGATGTTGACAATGTGTACCATTTATCCCCCATGACCAACGCGTTAAATAAACCAAGCATAGTTATTTCGCGCTCACGTATATGACCTCACGTATACAAAATTTGAGTTAAAGGCGGAGATTAAATTTTATTTTTTAGCGCGACATACAAGCTCCATAAATAATGCATTGTTAGCCAAAATTTCAATCGATTAGATAAATCAATTTTATTCCGCGGGCACAACTGTTTTAACTGTTTTTTTTAGTTATCAGAAGAACAATGCTTTGCTAAACAATCAATTTCAGTAAAACTCATATATGTTAAGCGAGCCGTAACATGTGGCGCGACTTATGTCGCGACTAGTCTGGCTGTGTCGGCTTCATATAAAATTAATTTTCCATAAAGAACTGTAAAACATTCAGTTTCACCCGCTTTACTGATTATGAAGACTTGAAATGAAACTTTAAGTCTCACAAAAATCTTAAAAATGCCTGGCTTATATAAAAAGTTAAATGTGACCAAATTTGTGTCGGCATAAAATTTATTTAATCGCCAGAGTCTGCCAGTTCATTCTCGAAACGGCGCCTCACGAAACCAAGCGTTGAATAAATAAAAGCATCCCTTATAAATCGCCTTGTTGACAATAAATAATTCAACCTAAGCGATACAATATTGTTTTCAAGCAATGTTTCATTCATAACATGCACCAATACTTATTTTCTGATGGACTGGGGGATTGTAAACAGGAACCCGGCGAACATTTGCATTTTAAAAAGTGTTTCATACCTGCAATCTCCTTTCTTTGCTGTTTGAACCCAAACTGGGTTAAAAGCGGCTGTGATTTCTGCCTTTTCATCCGGTGACTGGGACCGTTTTCTTAAAGAAAGCGCCAAGTACAAAACTCTCACGAATTCACAAACAGATTCAAACACGCGATGTGGAGAAGAAGACGATTTCATAATTCGCTTACGCAAGAAAAAACTAGTCACGAAATAGCAGGATCAAATGTCGGTCTTTCGTGGGAAAACGCAAATGGTTTCCAGTCCAAGTTGAATGCTGTTGAATAAAAGAGTTACGATTTCTGATGCTGGAACGCGATCAGTGGGCAAGAACAAAATATGTTATCCTTAACTTTAACCCATAGGAATCGGAACTTTATGTTTTTTTAATTTTTTTTTTTAATTTTGACTTCCAAAAGTACCCGGCGCTAACGCTCGAAGTAGCCGATGACTTGCGTCGGGCGCCGGTTACTTTTGAAAACACTGGTGGAGTATGATGTCAGTTATGTTGTCTTTGGTGGCTTATTAAAGAAGTTGTTTGATGCTAATCTTGAAAATTTAACAATTTATTGAATTTGTCTAGACTTGATTGATCTTTGATAAACACTACATACCACTGCTTTTTCCTGGGTCAGCTTTTGCTTCAACTTGCAGCTGTATCAAGTATAAATTTTACTTCTGGTAAGAGATGTCAAATATACACTGATCAATCTGAACATGGTAGGAACAAAACTCAATAAGTGTATATTTTACCTCTGTTTAGGAAAATGTCAATTGTGTATCTATCAATGTCAATTACAGGAACAAAACTAAAACTTCTAAAATTACACTAGACATGCCAACTCTTGGGGGAGAGAAACAATCTTACCTGATTTGCAAACTTGATCAACCTTTACCACTCCTCTAGTTGAGCCTAGTGTGGAGTGTTTCTAACATAATCTGCAAACTTTGATCAACCTTTGCCATTGCACATTTCATCTCTAATGAAAATAATTTGGACAAAAAATTATGGGTTGAATTCTATATATATATATATATATATGTTTTGTCTTTCACAGGGCCACAATAAAAAAGTTTTGTTTCTCACTAAGGCTCAGCAATAAAATGGATGAAATAATACAAATCAATCAAACAATTTATTTAAGAGATATATAATCATATGTATACATAAAATGTGAATAATTCAGCAAACTAAAACCCCTCCTATTTCAATAAAGTAAATTTGAAATTATCTTCTACATCAACAATAATAACAAGCTTGTTACATTGTTTAGTTGACCAGTGAAAAAGTTATTTGCATGCATGTTGCAATTTGAATGAAGTCTTAAAAAGCTCTCTAGTGGTCTGTGTTGAGAAAGTGGAACATGAGCACTTGTTCATTTTCAATTCCAACATTGATAGACCAGGAATCAGTGCCAGCACTACCTTTCACAAGTTCTCTTTTCAAGTTCTCAAGATTTAGGTGATGGACACTTTAACATAGTCCATTCTAGCGGTGATGTCTTGGGCATATGCTGTGAGCAGCTATGTATACTTTGGCACTGTTATGTCTTCTTGAGGCTCTTGGAAGTTAAGGGGACCAGTGAGAACACTTTTGGTTGCATCAGCAAAGTATTTGCTGTCAGTAAGATAAGCTTCTGTAATTGTGTTGAGTCATTGCCAAGGCCCCTTTTTCTTAACAATCTGGCACTCTGACATCACAAGCATATTGGCAGGTTAGCAAAACTGGGAACTGATGTTGATGGCCAGTGTCAAGTTGTTTTACAATCTCATGACTACAGCTGCCAAGCCTTCTCTGGCAATACCTTTACTCAAAGTACTCTGCAGCAAGGTTTCAGTTGCCTTAAAAATGTCTACAACTTGCCTCACAGTGCTGTATATCCCAATATTAGTGAGTGGTTTCTTGTCACAGCCTTCATGTGGGCAATACAGTATAACTTTTCCAAAGCTTTCTCTGGCAATA